ATTTTTTTCTTTTAAAATGTTTATGTTATAATAGATAAATATTCTAACATACTTGTAAAATAACGAGAGACCATTAAATCTCTATATATGAAATTTCGAACTGTATATGAGTAGTAGGTAGGTAATTTAATGTTACGACGTATACTAAGTCTATCTACTGAAATCTGTTCTTTCTTGCCCCGATATAACCTCTTTATAGGATCAATTTAATCTCCAGACAATGTAATAAAATGAAGCGCTAGGCGGTGTAATTAGGCTAATATGGTGCTACATTGAGTCGTTATGATGCTGATAAGCCATGGAACACTACAAGCTCGGCGGGCAGAAGGTACTAGTTCTCGGGAAGACACTAAGTAAAATCAGCAGGAGGGACGCCCCTTTACTCTCTGGCATGTGTTTTCATGTAGTCCGCGTTAAATGCAATGACCATAAAGAAAGTTCATGATATGATGAGCATTTAGCTATCCACTCCACATGACCGAAGAACCCGAAGGACCTTTGTATAACCATGTACAACCCCCGCACCTCCTTCTCCGCCCTCCCTCGTCTCTCTTCCTCCCCATGGCAGTCAATTTGGCTGATTACTACAGGGAATAGACGAGTCAACCAATCTATGAGTAAGTAATAGAGAGGCGCTTTATTTTCCCGAGGACATGTATAAAAGGCAACATACATACGTGTCATTCCTTCATGTACAATATACAGTAAGAGTGCAGCAAACAATACTTAATCATTATTGTCAACCTTGTCCATTCTAACCTCCATTATTTTTCTAATGTACAATCAAATTCGTTATCATCAGCCATGATCTGCTGGTTTTCATTTCTTGTTTTCAATCATTGAACAGTGCAAACGAGTTTAGTAAGTACTTAAACAATAATGATCTTAGTGGGAAATAACCTATTTCGATATGTGACATTATGTTGATCGTGTTTGTTGCTTCTAAGTATTCCTTTGGTTTTCATCTGAAAACGTGACATTGCTTTCATGGATTAACCGAGATTTACATGGCGGCTGTCGTCGATGCAGCAGAAGACGCTTTCTCTTCCAAAATACCTGGTCTTATTCTCCTTGTAAGTTTTCACGGGTATTCTTGTATATTTTCAGTCTATAGTTTCACTAGCTGAATTAAAGTCGGGGGTAAATTATGATTCCGATGTGACGTTGTCTTGACAGGGCATTTCATATTGATATCTTTTATGTTGGTGGACGATTATCATATCAAACGCTTTATCAGGTTTCTTTGATTCAAAGTCTGTCTTTTAAATTGTGAATAGATATACTTCCGGATGAAATAGCATCATTTCAATTATAGAATGTGATATGATTGTCTTCCACAGCAGCATGGCTACACAGAGTCAGAAATCTATATCACTGAGGAATAATGGCTGACTTACGATGTTAAAATGGACCTTCCATTGTATCAGCGAGTTCCAAACTTTGTTCAAATAAACTTTGGACAAAGCAAAGATATTGCTATGACAGCCACTGTAGGAGTTTAAACTTTTTTTCTTGTGTGAGCATAGTGACAATAACGCTTGGCACGATAATGGAATGCATCTAAGAATGACTATGATAACTATTTTATCATTGCTCAAGTTACCAATAATAACAGCGAAAATATATAAATTTGTCAACAGAATCTTAATTCAAGTATAATTTCGATAAAACTAGGACAAAAAATGAGTAAATAAATTCTCACGTAGATATAGAACTCTACAAAGTAGAAAGAGGATAAGACCTGTGGTTCCGGAAGGGTAAGCGTACTTTGCTTTGCCGACGACACCGCATTTTATAGCTTAGTTCTTCAGTCATAGACGTTAAGAATATTGCACAGTTCATCATCCTTTCACAAAACATCACATACTTGTGAGATTTATCAATTAATCCAAGGCTTTCATAAATGCTTAGATTTCGGGCCCTGAGCAAAAAGCACAAGTGAAGAAACAAACAATTATAACGGTAGTTATGATGTTACTGACTCATTATATTTTCAAAGTGCCTAATCCGTACTTTGAAAAGGTATCAATATAGATAGCCCAGCCTCTATATACAGCACATAGAAAATTCCATCATAGTTATTTCAATTTTAAGCTTGGATGTTACAGTCGAGACATAAAATCCAACAATAATTATTCATCTTAGCAAATGTACGGTATGTAATAGGACAAATAAAAATATTAGTAATTTGGACGTCTGGTATTAATGTGTATACACTTTCTATACTATCGGTGTGTATTTGCAAATTGAAAGAGCGAAATATAATGTTCACGATGATTGAGAAGTAGATATAAAATGAAGGTAATACATCTAAAGGCAGGTATTGCATAATTACAAAAATTTGATTTCTGACAATATTGACGTGATGTTGTCATATTGACTTCATTTTTTAACAAAAAGTTCAAAATATAGGACGAGTTTAATATCGACTTCAGTGCAAGCTGTTTTATTTAATAACTTATATCCGAAATTCTTTAATAAACGTAAACTCACAAACTTATTTCTGTATTCGAAGCAAGTAGGGAGGACTTCGAGTCTGAGAGTAGTTTTTTATTCCGACACTATAACATGCCGTTTTCGAATTATGACACTACTATTACATCGTTACTATTTGGGATATGCGTGTATATATGACATCTATATTGTGTATTAAATATTATTGGCTATAGGCAAAGCAGGAAAATAACAAATAAGAATTCATATGAATGTATTGTTTGTATAGTTACATTGTATGTGTAGATATATTGCAGGTTTTTACTTGGAATGAAAGCACCCGCAAATATTCCACCTAAATATGATGGGAGGAGTTATCCCCCTTCTGTTGATAAAAACTGTACAACAGAACGCTTCCATCTTTCAAACACAGTCGAACCACAATCTATATCATTCAACGCTTGAGTAGCAGATGATTTTTTAAAGATAGTTTCTCACGATTTCTGTTTAAACTTTAAACTTGATAAGACTGTCAACTGTTTTCTGGATCCTTTTTTCATTCTTTGTAATGTTACACGTATTGCATATCGTTATTTTCTCATGAAATGAAATACGGTTAATAAAAAAGTTTAGATCACAAATAAGCACGAGTTGATTTACAGGTAAAATGAATTTGGTAAGTATATCACGAGTTGCAGTTGTTTTGCTAAATACCTATACATGACCATGTGAACTGACCTGCTGGGTGCACCTAAAACATATCAATGAAAATGACTTTGAAGTTTTTCGTATTTTCTTTTTAATTTCGGAATAGAATATTGCTGCTTACCACATACTCCGTCTGTTATCTAGTTCAGTCGGCCCTTCAGTATTATTCACTGGTGTAATTTACCCTTGTACGTTTTTTCATTGGGTGCGCCAGTCAGAAATCGGTTGTGTTGTCATAATGCAGACTGTGACACTACAAGTGGATTGGTAATTAAAAATATCGAAACAAAATGACTGCCTCCGTTTTATGTTGTCTTTCACATTTCGGCTTTAAGCCAATAAATGTTTAGCATTTTTTCTTAATTCTGTTTAAAACAATTGCCTTGCCATATGAGACTTAATGAAACTCGTGTCATAGTTTGTTTAATTTTTGATCGCCAAAGATCAAAAAAAAAAAATAAATAAATAAACACTTCTTAGACTTGCTTCATAAAACTAATGGATAATTCTATATTTATCAGACGATTGCCGTTCATGAATATAACCATGTGATCATTTCGCGTATGCTATATGGCATATTGTGACGTCATTAACTGATAGTTACAATATGGCGTTTTTATTAAAGAAATAAAAAGTGTGCTTGGTCGATACATCTCTAAGGAAATGAAAACTGTTTTAACATTCAATGTGTCCATACATGTTATCCATATGCATGATTGGTACATAAATCCATGTAGGAAAAATAAAAAGTATATACATTGATATTCTGAATAGTCATAAAACGCATTTAGATAGAATAAGACGGTTGGATACAATGTTATAAGCATAGCTGTTACATATCGTGGTAATACATTCATGCATTCGAATAATTTCAATATACCAAATATGTAAATATTGGTCAATTCAAGAATATTACGTCTTATTATCAAACGTGAATAAGGTTCACGACAACGACAACTGAACTACCGGGCATGATATCTAGCAATAACCAAATAAGTATAAAACATTATGCTCAGTAGGTGTGTATTTCACTTACCTTTCACCGCGTGATCTTCAGAACAAAGGCGCGTGATGTGACAGCAACACGCTAATTGTACTTTTTTGTACCTTACACATATGAAGAAACTCGTTGTATTAGTATATCTAACGTGTAGATCGCCAGCCATGCATAAAGGACATCACGTGCGGTTGGTACAATTAAATATCATGATAATCAATTCGATTTTAACAAAGAAGATAAATCAAATATTAACTGATTTTACTTACTTTTTGTTGAGATATTCAATATGTGTGTTCATACAATTTTATAAATAGTGCTTGTAAGTAAATAAAAGTAGCATCATACATATACAATGTAAATATTAATTGGCAAATGTATACTTCAACACAAAAGTCACGTTTTTGTCTAACAGAAGATTAAGTTGATATACTGGAAATATAATAACCTTTTACAAAATTTAATGTTCCATTAATACAGACGTTCATGCTAGTAAAGCGCAAATATATACTGCAGTTCTATTTATCTCGAGTTTGTCATTTTCAAAGCAGACATGCATGTACACTGTTCTTCATTTTTGTGGATGATTTATTTTCAATGTTTTCCTAGAAAATCTTAATCAGTCTACGAACTGTTAAAACATCAATTTTTAGTTCAAGTTAATTTCGTGAGCACTTATATCCTCTACGAAATCAAGTGCCCCCAAAAAAGTGTTGTTTTCAAAAAAAAAAAAAAGCGCAAAATATGATCCCCACGGAAATATCTGATTTTGCAGTAACTAAAGCGACTATGCATCACCATTGCTACATGCCAGTGTTAAGTGATAATTGATGCTGTAGCTCCAGTACACGACGAGACCTACCTTGAATAGTTACTGCTATATGGTGGGTGGAAAATCCAAGCGTATTTCCGGTCAAACACACGTATAGCCCAGCATCAGATGTTTGAACAAACGGAATGGCCAAAGTGTTTCCCGTTCCTACAGGAACTGTTTACGAGAAAAAGAAGTTTTTTTATTTCACATTAAAGGGACTAGATGGTTAGATTTCGTTATTTTTTTCCATGCGTTTGATTTAGGACAAGCGTTGTTATACTTAGAATTAGACTACTCACAAAGGTATAACGCTTTCTGAAGAAAATTGATAAAAATTATCAGCTTCAAGTTAACGCTAGCTGACGCTCATTATTGTGTCTACCGTCAATCGCTGTTTTGATCGGATATACTCGATATTGATCACGTGACTTTTCGGAACCTCATGATTTCTAATTTGCATGCGCAAAAGCATTGTTTCATAATGATATGAATTATTGTTGGATCACTCCTATTTTTATAACATGGTTATGCAAACTTTAAAATGATATAATTAACAGAATTTTTTAATAGATATTTAAATGTTATAATGCTTTTTATCAGTTATGAAACGAAAATCTTACCATTTAGTCCTTTTCAACATATTTTATAGCAAGTGTATACAAAGTGTTATTATCAACTCGCCTTTACAAAGTGTAGCCTTGATGAAGAATGACAACTGGTCAATTAGATTAAAACAAATGTCATCCATTAGCTGGGATTAATAGTTTGTCAATTCAGTCCTGAGATTTGATGATAAAGGATGCTAGATTGTAAATCAAGTGAAGTGGTATAAATAGATGATAGAATAAAAATAATTTCTTACCGATGAATAAACACGAAAAATGCCAAAAACACAAGGATATATGCAAGGTCATTCGGCCTTCGGTACAGTGTAAATAATAACTCTAATCATAATCGTTCCTCTGTGTTGTGCTTTTAAGTACAAATTCGTAAAGGAAGGGAAGTAACTCACAATGTTGATTTCACAAAGACAGCGGCATGATATGATGGTTCATTTGCTCCACTCTTCACAAGGTGATAATCTATACATATTTACATATTTATAAATTCTATGTAAGTGTGATGTTTTGTTTTAAAATCGTTTTCATGCGTAAAAGGCGTTGTTTTTATATTTCAAGTTTCACGTGATGAAAATAATGCTAAAATTAGTGACCTAAGACATAATACGCTGTGTCGTTTCTCTTATTATGATACATTTACGAACACACTATCGTTAAATACGAAATGCACTAATAACCTTATTTATTTTGTACGTTTTTATAACATAGGAGTAAGTCCTTTGATCTTTTTAGTATGCATCCCTTGTCAGACTGATCATATTTTATAAGTAAAGAGGATACAATTCTATATTCTATTGTTATACAATATTTTATAATGTCATGCAATTCGTAAATATGTTCTCACACCCAAGTCGCTGTTAACAAGTTCCATCTGTTATGAAAGATTAAGCTGTCTTAAGGGACGTTATTAGGTCCTTTAGGCATCGAGTCCTCAAAGAATTATCCTAGAGAAAGCAACACGTGACAAAGGGCATTGTTTTTACTGAATCGAACTCTAAATCATCAAAAGGTGTTATTCACTTGTTTGTCTTTTGAACAATATGCTTTCCCTTACTGATGTGACCGAAAATACATGGTTATGATCATGTCTCTTGCAAAGAACACAAGGCCTTCTTAATTTGTCTATCTTTAATACTACAAACACTTTACTCACCAGATTACTGTAAACGCTTCGCGATGATCCTAATTTAGTTATGATAGTATACATGCTAAAATATATACAAATGTTCATCTAAAATTATCAGACATACGAAAGTGTATACGCATGAATTCATAAATTGTTTTCAGATATATGCCTGGATGGTAATTATATAACATTTAGTATAGATGTGCTAATCTGTCAAAGCCTAGATTACAAAACGTGATAGTGGACTAAGATGTTATTGTGCTAAGCACGTTAAGAGTATTTGTCCATGCATTAGGAGTACTGCATGTTTACTCTGTTTAAGTTTCATTATAGATAAAGTTGTTGTGCGTATAACATTGTAAAAACACAAATACATCTCTTTTTTAATTAAAATAGTTATAGTCAATGTGTCGTCAAATGAGATTTTCAGTTAAAAAATGGTAGGACTACATTGAAGGTAGTGAGAGGACAGTAATATAAAGACTGCAAATGATAGATGAAAAAAATTTACTATACAGACACTATGCATTTTATTTCTTTGACGCAACATTACATTTTATCAATGCATGAGTATTGATGTCGAAAATAATTTCAAAGACGTTATGAAATGCATGACTGTTATAAATCCTAAATTATACAATAAAAATGGAATCATTTGTTAATCCTCAAATTATGATAATAATCTTTTCGTCGCGTTGATTATGTAAACAACACAATCTTCGGGTTTACAAATAAACGCTTGTTCCCCAAACAGATGAAGTGTATTATTGGTGTAAGAAAGATTAATATTAACACAAAGCTTACCGTCACGATTGCTTTCAATGTCTTCTGCTTTGTACCAGCTGATCGCTGCATTTCCCGATGTAGTGTAACAGGATAACTCCAGAGAGTCTCCGAGATGCACACTTTGGTTTCCACTAGAGCGTATTAAGTCAATTTCTGGCGGTACTATATAACACAATTAAAAAAAGAAAGTGTTATATCCTTAAAGCGACACTGAAAGTCACTTCAAGACACAGCATTCATAAAAGAATTGTAATGAAACTGAAAACCATTCAGGCAACTTTACTATGCTTCTGATCAAATTTATTTACAACCGTGAAAACATCAACTTCTTCTGTACTGCACTTTTGTTATTGTCAATCATCATCTATCATACAAACAGTATATTAATAAAAAAAACAGTTACAAAGGCACTTCATGGAAATGATTTGACTTCGAACATTTGATCAAATATATAGTTTGAATCAATTTCCGATCAGTTTTTACTGTTGTTCCACACAACTGACTTTCCAAAGTAAACAAGATATGACTCAAAAACAAATATGACTCGACGCCATTATTCATTTAAGCTACAGTCTAAATGTTGATAGCCTTTATGGCGCAAAACACTAACTGATCATAAGTCACTTGTCTTTTATTCAAGTACTAGATCTGTGCTTTTGATATATCAGGGAACAGGTGGTGAGGTATGATGGCCATAATAACTCTTAACTTAAATACGATACTCGTGATCTCTTAAGAATTTTACATGAATGAACAAGACAATAGCAACATGTCTATATATTCATAATCCAAGCTCAAGTTCAATCAAACTAAAAGTATGCACAAAAGAAAAATTACAATGAAAATAAAAACAGGTGTTCCAGAATTTTTGAAAATAGCAAATACGGATCCAGAATGAATTCACAGTTCTGAACCCACTGGATTGATTTTTAAAAATGTTGCAGAAATTCCTCTTACAAAATTGTTTAATTTGAAAAACTGCTCCATCTCTCCCAAGGCTGTTCACACACACGACCCTGTAAAACCCGAACTCGTCTAAGTTGATGCCTGTGATAGTTAAGGAATGGATGCTTTCATTCCTGGACTCAAATATATATCTGACATTATTCCGATACAATACAAGCCTGCTGTGAACCCAATCAACAAAGGGCGGCGGGTTTCCAGTGCAGCTTATAGTCATTGTTACGTTTCTTCCGATCGAAACAATGGAGTCACTGGCAGTAAGAAGCTCAATGCTTGGCACAGCTGCACAAAAGATAAAGCATTGAGATACATTAATGATAATGTAAAAGAAACATGTTGGGTAACTTATACTCTAACTCAAAATCATAAAATGACATTTTATTCTGACGCGTGTGATCTGAAATCAATATTTTTATGTGGATAAATATTGTATCATAGACAACAATGCATAATATACCAAATAAAATATAACTAAAGCGTAAAGTTTTATCCTTTGTGGTTTAAAATGTAAATGTTTTTAAGTGTCTGTTTGAAACATATATATGTTACAATTTCAAATTTCATCTTTTCTTTATCCTTCTTTTTTTAAAAACAAATCAATAAAGACTTATAGTGAAAAAGATCACGTTGCGGGTCACGTGACGAGAAGGAAATCCATTACATACCATGTACATCCACTCTGAAAAGTTTCGATAACGTTGGCTCAACTCCATTGGCCACAACACATTCATACTCCCGATATCCACGGTACACTCCTTCAACAGTTCCTGTGATGTTTTGTATCAGTAAAGTTTCGCTCGTACCAACTTCAAAATAACAAAATACAAGATGGTCAAAATATTATGTGTGAATTGAGGAATAAATGCTGTCAAAAAATAAAAGAAAAACATTTATTTCAGCGTGAAAACATTACGGAGAAAAAACTGGAGGAAATCATCCTGAAAAACAAAAATGCAGACATACATGTACATGAGGTAAGCGTCTTAATGAAATAGCTTTAAATTTGGAAATATACGGATACAGGCCAAATAAATCCATCAAAACTAAAAGAATCGTTCAATTTATCTATACGTTTTATGGAATGTTCTAAGTTTATGTGATATTTAACTGAACAACGAACGTGGCAAAATGTTGAGACAATCCAACTTATAAACGCATAGTCATCCAAACACCACACTCAAATTTTGAAAGTGGTTGTTATACATGAAAATATATTCAGTTGCATCAAAGATTCTCAATGTATTACTACTTACCCTTTATTCTATCCCGGAGACCAAACTCATACCAGAACACAACTGGCGGCGGAACTCCCTCGACGAGACACGTCAGCTCTATGGACTCGCCAGTGTTAACAGTCTCTGTATATTCGGAAGAGTTTACAATCTTCGGAGGACCTGTAATGAAAGCGCAACGGAATATCCATTTTCTGATATTGAAAATTGAATGAAACTTATTAAACAGGGATATGTATATATTCAAATCCAAGCTTAAACATTTATTTTGTATTTAAAATCCACAGACGTGTGTGATACATTAACAATAATTATTTGGCGCCTAGCCTGTATCAAATTCTTAATTTCATTGTGACGTTTTCTTTTTTCTTTTTTTTTTCGGGGGGTGGTGGGGGGAGGGGGGGTGTGGAGGGGTTAATATATATTCCGTTGTTATATTCAAATTTAAACACCATGTATTCTTGTCCGATGATGTCTATATCGAATTTGTTTTCTGGTATTTTCTTTGCATTATATTTTCATGTTTCTCTTGCAAATTTGACACCTTACAAAAGTTTTAGCTTGTGAAACGGTGAAGAAGTTGCTGTACAAATTACTGTTTGCCAGGACTTACAAAGAACACAACATAAACCGTACAATGAACCGCACATTTATCAACTGATATATCATTATGTCCGTGAAATTATAATATTTGATTCAGGAAGTTTTGGTGTCGGCCTCATGAACGAATGCAAGTCTTTCGAATTTATTCATATTATGGTATATGCTGCCTCTCATTCGGAACGTGTGGTGTTAACTTTGAGTTCCTTGTACAAATAATTCATTAGATCAATTTTATTTTAATGTGAGTTCCACGACAGACAACGTTTCCCTTAATTAACAAAGCGAATAATATTCATTTGAGACTTGTCAGGAATTTGATTAATGGATCACTGTATTACACACAATATCATACAGTTCCTTGATGAACAATCAAGTAAAAAACAGTAGGCATGTAAATTTGAGATCTTCAAACATGGTCTCCCATACATACGGGATATATAATAAAATACTAAGACCATTTACTTTCTTTAGTATCATATCCATCGATTATGTGAATGATATTAATTGTACCCTTTCAACATTCCTCCAACAGATGTTTATTCCTGCAGAAAAATGTTGAAAGTCGATGCACGTTTATTTTCACGTTACATGTACTTCGCGAAATTTCATTTAAATTACGATCGCCGTTGTCCCAATGATAGATATACCACCATCCTTCAATTGTGAACTGTGATTGAGTTATCCGTCTTAAGGCATTAGGGATTAAAAAAACAACAGTTGAAACAAAAATAAAATAAAAGAAAGAAATATACAAATACAAATCGAAAACTTAACATGTATTTTCATCGTGGAGTTTACATATATAAAAGAATGGCACACATCAATTTGATTATCTTTACAGATTCAAAATGGAAGTAGCAAATGTCAGTGTCAATATTTTATACGTGTAATTCAAACCACAAATTGTATTCCAATCTGCTACCTACTCAATATTGTCAAACTGATGTCCTGGGATTTGCGCGGCTTGGTGTATACGGAGCAGGTGTAAATGTTCTGGTCAGATAAGTCAACATCGTTTATCATCAAACTCCAATCGTCTATGGAGTTCGCTTGAGTGAGTTGGATTCTGCTGTCGCTGGTGAATATGTTACGGCCGACAGAGTAGGGAAGACTTGTCCTTTTGTTAATCCAGAGTACAGGTGCCTGTCAATTAAATAGATCGTTTTACAATACAATCAAAATCATTAATGAAGGGAAAGTCACCTTACAAGTTAGTAATAAAAACCTGGAAATCCCCCCTCTTCTTCATCAAATGCTTTATGATGAACATTTCTAGTACTATCGGTACCCTGTTTCTGTCATTAATATTTGCTTTTCCAGTAGGAAATATTCTTCCGAATGTGATATGATTATTATCAATATAAAGAACTCGGACATGGAAGGAGGTTAACTTCAAATTCAAAAAGGAGATGAATTATTGAAAAAAGCAATAGAAAGCGAGAAACGAAGTTACCTAATATAAAGAAAGACAAAGGCACGATTTTCACGAATAGCTTTGCAACGGTATTCATTTTCAACTTCTTCAAACAAATACGCGGTGTTCATTTTGATATTTCTCAGTGATGGTACGTTTTGGAAATGCGAACAGAGTCAATAACAAAGGAAGAATCGGATATAAACAGAAACATCGAACGTCAAGTCTCCATATCATACACAGGAAACGAAACAGGACTTTCCCGTATGAAATCACAGTGAAAATAGCAGATAGCAGAAGATGCTCGTACTGTTTATCACTTATAGTTGTAATTTGTATGAGAATTCATAACGGTATATTTACTTTGAAATAATAGTATAAATCATATATATTCATATGAATGTACATATATCTTAGATATGAAAAACAATTGATTTCTCTTTTTTCGCTTTTCGTATGAGTTTCATACAAGTCACACAACTCTAACTAGGATATACCCTAAAGTATAAAATATGTACTGAATTGACATCTAAGGCGATTTTAATCAAGTGATTCCGCAATTAAGTCTATTAGTGTTACATGGACCTGATTGCTTTGATTATACTGATAACCACTGACACCGTTCTAAGGTGAACAAGTGAATGTTACAAAAATAGTCTTAGGTACAACTCAGGTTGAATTTTGTATGAGGTCCATCTCATAAACATAACGCCACAGTAAGGAACGACACTGGATCTTACTTCTTCATACGGGTCCGGTTAGACATACCTGGTAGTCGGTACATCTCAACACTACATTTACACTGAGGCAACTTGTATAGTATCACCCACCTATCCGAGCCCGATTTTATTTTATATTTAATTGCTAAATCTATTGCACTTTTCACAAAATTTCATTTTCCTTCCTATTTAAAATTGGCGCCAATAATTAAGTCTAGTCCTGAAGAAGAAATTCTTATGATATGGTGCGAGTTTTCTGTGCGCGAGTTGACGAAACTGGGGCCCATTTAGCTATATCTGATATGTTATTTTGTTATAACTAGCGGTTTTTATCAAATTACATTTTATTGTAACTACACATATTTCCATTATTTATACTCTTATTTTAATCAGACAATTCCGCATTTAGAATGTGGCCGAGATGTACCGATAGACAACTTTCCTTGGAGTGACAAGCAATTGTTTTCGTTGCGATCACTGATACGCTCAGTTTCTACACTGCAAAACATACAGAGACTGATATAAACATTTTTGAAATTTTAATCGCCATCTTACATACAACTTATGATATTTCTTTTTTTGTCCCTTATAAAGGGACTTCGGCGTCCATCGGCCGAAGGGTTTATCGCGACACCTAAATTTATTCCACCACTCTCCATTTAACTTTATAACTTTGTATTTGTTTTATTTTCTATGTATGTGATGTAATTTATGTAATTTTTGTGTCTTGATAAAGGGGTAGAAAATTTGACAACTCATTTACCCGTACTGTCGTAATCACTTCATTTTATAAAATGATGTTGCCGCGGGCAAGTACGAATAATAAACATGGGCAACCGATATTGGTAATTATGTAATTTAAAGTTGCACTTTAACCGCTTGTGTTTTCTTTAGAGCTTGTGGTCTTGAGTGTAATAAGAGAAACAGGCATGGCATGTCAAACAAGTTAGAAACAGATTGAAGTTTGACACCACAAAAACACACAACGGAGTCTGCGTGGGAGTTCGAGATCAGCGAGGGACTGTGAAGTGTAAAGCACCGGGATAAACCTTCAAAATAAAACAGGATATGATTCGTTTTTCATACGATTCTTTGAAATTAATTATAAGCTTATAAATATACAATTCAAATAAACCGTCTACATACAGGATCTTTTCCTTTCATATTAACTTTCATGAAACAAATCTTTCAAGTCTTTCATAATTTTAGTTTTTAGTTTTTTAGTTCTGACCTGATGAGCAAACAAAATATTCATTTAAATTAAAGACAACAAATGTAAGTTTTTTAATCATATAACTCAGAATAGTTTTATTTGTTGAGGTTATAAAGTCAAACTGTTGATGATGACATCAAACAAAGGCAGCCATTTTTGGTACCATTTTCAATCCATGATGTTACATCATTGCCTTTACCAAAGTATCACAATAAATAACATCAAATAAAAGTATATTACACTTTAACTAGTTACTTGCACTGAATAGCAGGTCGATTATATGATAAATAAATGTTAATTTTATCTACGAAATTCTCATACCAGGAGGTGCATCATTGTGATAGAATAACATTTACGTTTCAAAGACTATGTTGTCTGTTTCCAAAATGTTGTGCCGTAAATAGTTCGATTCTTTTGTTTAACTTGAAAGGTAAGAGTCTAGTTTACTATTTTTTTATTTCCTTTGTTCATGACTCACCGTGTAAATATGTATATTGTGTGTGCTTTGTCCTTGTAAAATAGATGTAAAATTTGAAAATATTCTAAATATAATACTTTCAACAATAACCGTAATTTAGTAAAATCTCTTGTTCTTTCTACGATGGTAGAAAAAGCAAAGAATTACGTTAATCAAAACGCTTGATATAAGATAATGAGAAAACTGTCCCTATTCGAATTACAAGTGAATCTAGCATTGACTCAACTCTTGTGGTGTGTTTGTTTACATTAAAGCCGCGATCAAAATTATTCGCGACAAAATTTGGTTCACTGTAGGAAATTCTTGTTCAAAAATAGATAAACGACTTTTTCTAAAGTAAATGCCCAGCCTGATCACACAATGCTTCTAAGCCATTCATCAACTCTAGATATTCGTTAAAGGTTTGTTGTACGTTTCCTCTAATTGATTAATGATTTGTAATTTTTCTTCACATTTGTTAAGTTTAAATTCCTTTCTGAACGAGCAACCTTGGTTTAAACTTTTATTTGAATATCTATAAAAGCTAACAAGGATTTTACACTGTAAATGTCTCTGGTTATTTTCTCTCACTTGCTTCCGACAAGTATAAACCAAACCATTTAACCTGTCCACTCTATTGAGGAATGTTTAGTTTTATCTGTAACTCGGGATATGATGGGAGTTTGTAGCAGCTCTAGGATAATCTGTAGTCTGTTGATTTTATTTACGTTACTTTTATCGACTCTGCAGTCGCAAGCTGAAACCTGTCTGAGCATTATTCACTGTATTTCTAACTTAAGATAAAGAAGCACAGACATTTGTGAAGCGGAAGCTACTATTTTGTTTTCACGTGATATGTTCCATAGTCAAGGGAGATGACTGTATGATAAATCAGGAACCTTAAATGCCTATAGCTTTTACAAATGGATCTTATGTATGTACGTCTATTTTAATTTTAAGCAAAATAAAGTGTTTGCTAGTTATTCATGAAAGCAATATGTCATTATTTTGTCAGTAGAGAAATCGGACTTAAGGAGCATCAGATAAGACGGTATAAGATTCGACCCTATCCCACGACGAGTCTCAGAGGAAACTAGGCTCCACATTGCCAGAACAGTTACTAGCAATAGTAAAAAAACGAACTAAAGATTAATACCTGTTCGATTATTTCAATGCTGTGTCATAGGTCAAAACTCATCACTTTGACTGTTCTGGATAATATGCAACGGGCAAATGGTTGAATCCTTATATAAAACCGGTTTATGTTAAGCCTGGTCTTCTATGCACTTGATTTGCTACAGTGTATCTGAAATAAATGATGATTTATCCTCTACTATAGCAACGGGCCACCGGTATATTGTACAAAAGACACACAGTTGATTAACACCTTGAAATACAAATAGATATTAATTACATCTGTTTCTTCTTTCTTTCTAGGACTCGTCAGCGATGCAGGAAACGACTAAGCAAAAAAGTAATCGAAAGAGAAGAAAGAAACCCCGCCGTGATATTGGCTGTTCAGGTGGCTATTAACACACCAACAAACAGAAATTAATTTATTCATGTCTTCAGGTATTTGCAATATAATCCAATAAACAAATATACTATTGTAAATCAGTGACTTCGAGATAACGAGCACCTGCGTGCTTCATAGCGAATTCTCTTTCTGATGACTGCGTACATTCTGACATTTTGATATCACGTGCGTGTCGGATTTAAAATATCAAAATAACAGATAGAGGTCTGTTTGATACATAACGAACCACTTTAATCCGCTGTACTATTACATGTTAATATCAAGTCGAACATTATCATCTCGAATTCTTATAACAGGAAGACCAGGTACAATTCCACAGACACTGCACACTAAGCATCTGAACTTCACTTTTTGCAAATATTTGGATAAATCGCGGACTTCACTTTTTACGAATATTTGGATATATCACGGTTTTCACACGGTCCCGTCGACTGCGAGATAACGACTTTCGACAGTAAATATCTTAAAGAGATTTCAAACCTGTATGAAGATTTACATCATCGGAATACTATTTCCTTATTATTTAACATTCACATATCTAAGTATGCAACTTAAATATATTTACAAATATTTGTTTAATGCTGAAGATTCCAGGTCAAATGTTAGTTATTCACACATTTGTGGCTGACAAAACTGATAGAAGATTGAACTCTGATTATATATGTTTGCCCCTGAATAACCTCTAAAAACGCTTGGGAGTTCTTCCCTCTAAGACCCAGGACTTACATTGTTATCTATAAGTATCATTAGCATTACATGTAATCAAGTCTTCCATCATAACAGACACGAAGAAAAGTTTGAAAATATTATATGGAATCCATTGCATAAATCTGACAAAAAGCATTTTACTTCTTAAGTGAAATCTGATAGTATTAGAAAATTAAAGTACAAATCCAGATGAGTTTCTCTGCTGTTTCTGAGAGATTTGTGAAATAGCACACTCCGACACAACAAGGACGAAAGCGGGAAAGAAACTTGGACAGCTGGATGATTCTGGTTTTAGTGGAGATTCTCGTGAAAATGAAAAGCCTTGGATAGCCAGCAGGAGGCTGATAAGGGGATGAGTAATGCCGTAAAGAAGACTGTTTGAATCTTATATATAGAGTGATATTGGAATAGTCTACTGAGGTTAAACATAAGTTAGTGATAAGATAGGCGATTTACTAGTAATGTATGTCATCTTATATCTACCATACTGAGGAGATCTTCCATTCTGTAGATGCTTTAGAAATCGTTAAAAAAAATGTGTCTATTCATGTAACATTGAGTTCTCCGGATCACGTCCAAATCTAAGTTCAAATCAGAAACATCTTTCAGATCAAAATCATAATATCCATTTGTATGCACTATATGGATAGTCTAGAGACAGTGGCTAGGATTCTTTAAACAATATGAGTTGGATCATAAATAAAAATGTTTTCAAATAAATTGTAAATAAAATCCCCATCCACCAATGTTAAGTATAATCAAGCGTTTGAAGGGTTCAGAAATATAAGGAACATATGTTAATAGCATTCTCCATATGAGATAATGTGCTTGTCGAATGTCATAAAATACTATATAATAACTCCTATAGATGACAGAACATCATAACACGATCCGTGAATTTGTGTCGGAAAATATTCATAAATAATTGTCATTTGCAATATTTGGTGTCTGTCTGGTGTGGAAAAACAGAGCTGTGGAAGACTCGACACACAAAATGAGACGTAATAGAATCGTACAGAAACTGTTCATAGACAAACGAAAAAAGTTCTAAAACGTTTTTTTTTTTAATTTTTATTTTTAGTTTTTTTTATATGCAAAAAATGACAATGCATGTTTCATCGTCTCTCTTACACTTGCTGCACTGTTTGAACTTGAAGAATACCAATAGGTAAACAAAGATTAATTTCGAAACACCGAGGAGTGAAAATGATAACAAAATACGAGGAAATATTTTTAAAAAATAGGACGAGATATCCGTGTTCCGGAAGAGGAAACGTCTTATAGTTTATCAACGATATATGAATTCTTGTTTTGTTTTAAGGGTTATCTGAAGAGACACAGGATTGCAGTAATCTTGTCTTATTGTACGCTTTTATCCAGAGAACGGCCCTCACTTGTGTACGACATACAGATGCAAATGATGAATGTACATGCAATTTTCCACATACAAGGATCGACAGATTTTGCCATCAGTTGGGGACATCTAAGAAGCATCACGGAAACTCCAATTTCGTTCAACATCAAAGTATCTTCACGAGTAGTTTTCTATGTATATAGAGTATAGTACATGTGCATACCCCTATATTATGACGTGTGTCTAATCTCTCTATGTGAGAACTGAAGCGCCCATATGATCAACATAGTAATAAAATGCAAAGTCAAGTAAGTTAATGTATATATAATTCTGATTAGTCTATAACAAAGAAAGACTTTTAAGTTTATTCTTACATTTGTATTCTCCATTCCATTGATGATACATGGAAGTGTCACTGTTTCACCCACTATTGCTGTCACGTTTGTAGGGGTGTCTTCGAAGGTCACGTCCGCCAGGACCTGTAAATCTAAAATGATCAAGTCTTTATGCACAGTGCAAAACTCGTGGCATTCAGGAAAAAACATCAAGAGAAAATACTGATCTGGCAATATAATCGTAATGAGAGCAAAATATGAACAAAAGAAACATTTAAATGGAGACTCCTAAAAACGTACTAGGAGAATAAGACTAGATGTTCCAGAAAAGTAAGCGTCTTCTGCTTCATTAATGACACCCGCCATGTAAACTTTGGTCAATCCAAGTACGCTATGTCATGTTCTCAATGAGAACAAGTTATACAACAACCGAACCAACAGGTAAACTAAAAAGCATCAAATACGTCCATTTTCATGTCACACAAAGAAATAGAATATTTCTCAATGGGATCACTATGGCGGACAAAAAACTTCCCCGTAATTTTCATCAAGCTGCACCTTTTGAACCCTTGTGTTACGAGATTGTCAGTCAACTGACGACTTGTTGCAAGAAAATCGTGATAATGGGTACAGACCCTTGAATACCGGATCAACAGTGATATGTAAATGCCATAGTTTGGAGATGCAGGAATATTGCTATCCAGAAATGGAAAATACTCAATAGGGAAATTGAAATCATCACGTTTGCCATACAGCTTGATGGAAAGCTGTCCATGTTTGTTTCGTTGTAGGAAAATACCGAGATAAGCAGCTGATGTAGAAGAGTCTGTCGTATCTTTGATTTCCAGTTCTGGTTGATATATACGATAGACGTAGTCAATAAATTTCTTGTTATTTAAAGACAAGACGTCTTCAATATATCTGAACGTGAAATTAAATGACTTGCCAAAGTCTTTGTGGCCTGTTTTGATAAGCTCTTCAATAAATTAAGCCTCCTATAAAAACAAAAACAAGTCAGCCAACAGAGGGGCGCACTTGGTTCCCATGGGTATGGTATGCTAAGAGTCTTTTGGAAGATCTTACCACCAAACTCGACGAAATATAACTTTTATTTTGGCCTGCCGCCTCTAAGGCTTCAACGATATGTCTTTAGCATCACTGACGAGTCCTTATAGAAAGACCAAATAGCCGTGCATTATCTTCACTCCCGGCCCCCTTCCATCCCCCATTTTTTCCTCTATATTCAACCTAGGCTTGTCCAATTTCGAGGTATGCACTAGTTTTATTACAAAAGAGGAATGTACATCATTTTTTAAGTTAATTACCGAAAAGTTATATCCCATGTCGTGATAAATTGCAGCTGAGCCCTGCATTAATTCAAGTTCCATTTAAATCTACAGTAAAGGTAATTACATATTTAAGCCGACTGTTTTGGATTATAGTTAGAAACTTGTTCTTATTTAAACATCGGAATTTTAATGTCACCCTTCTTGTGAACGCTAACTTCATTTTTTCCTTTTTTATAGCATTTTTATATGTCATGCTAACTTAACGATGTTCTGTGTAATGATGGATTGGCTACCAGCCTCTCTGATTTTTTGTTTTTTTCAATAATGACCAAAAGTAAAGAAATACCAGGGTACGGTAGTTTTTCTATCACAACGTAATGAGGGCGTGATATAGCCAAAATCAGAGCAGTTAGTGACAAGATTTTATCCATAATCTAAATATTCTAGAGACAGAGGCCAATCTATATATCCACAATTACATAAGTCCTAGACTATTGAAGCCATATAAGGTAAAAATAAATAGTCGCAGCGTATATCAAGAGTCATAAATGGCCTGCAATTTTATACGATCTACATAATCTGGACATAGAGTAAATAAACACTGTACGTCATAAACAGTTTCCATCCGATTTGAGAGAAGACAAGTTTGATTTTTCGTGTCTTTATCATTTGTTTACAATGTACTCTAGGATCATACTTACGTGTACCTACATCAGCTTGTAAATGTTTGTTGAAAGGAACTTTGTAAAATAAAATATAGAAAATAAAATCGGTTCGGTATGATTAGATCTCACTAACCTGAACTGGTGATTATTATAATTTTATGTTTATTTGTCCATATCAATTTCATTCTGTACTGGTATCACAAATACAATATTGTTTTACTTCAAATAAACTGTATTTTCTAACCTTAGAGTTCAAGGGTCAAAATGATGAACTTACACAGGTAAGTCATCAATTCATGAAAGTTCAAAAAGTGAAAAAAAAGTTATCAGTCGATCAGATACATTGGTTTATAACTAAGATGACCTTAACGTACCAAAACCGTATGACCTCCTTCAAACATTGATATTTTGTTTCATCTGAACAGCAGACATCAAACGATGGTTGCGTAATATGTTGCATTATTTTTAAAACTGTGCCATTAGTCAAATGGAACTTGTATACGTGGAAACAGATCATGCTGAACCACAGAATCTAAATCTCTGATTATGATATGTACGATTAGCGGGAGCTCTCGTCTCTTATTGGTATCTATGTAACAGTCAGCCTTGTCTTATCTGTAATCTCCATGCGTACTACTGTATACCCTCACTATGGTGCAGACAGGACACTGTCTTTAGCTAAGTTTACTGATAGTGTATACAGCTTTATGTGGGAGTCAGACTTTACATATAACCTTATGCTTATGGCGTATTAGCGTTAGATTTTCTCTGAGAATGTCCCGCTCTACATAGACTGAATGGATCTACCATGTGTAAGTGAAACGTGGTAAAGGAAAAACAACATATAAGGGACAAAAACCTGGGGGGGGGGTTAAACTTTTATCAAGGAACCAATCATTGTTGTTGAACAAGAATTTCGTGATAACAATGGATGGATGGATGGATGGATGGATAGATGGATGGATAGATGGATGGATGGATGGATGGAATATGGAGGGAGGGAAGGAGGAGGGAGGGAGGGAGGAAGGGATGAGTGGAGGGAGGGAGGGAGGAAGGGATGAGTGGATGGATGGATGGATGGATGAACGATGGAGGGTGGGAGGAAGTGAGGGATGAAGGGATGAGTGGATGGATAGATGAAGGGATGGATGGATGGATGAAGGGATGGATGGATGGATGAATGAATGGTGTATAAGTTTATTATTTCAAGGATAAAAGAAGTTGAATAAATAAATAATTTGATGAATAATTTAGAATTGGTTGAATGGTAAATGAATGAATGGTTAGGTGGAAGGATTCAAAGATGAATGCAAAGCTAACTGATATTATTGCCGGAGTGTTGAATGCTTGTTTTTTCATGAGGTGGTTTAAGGCTTGAATCATACACTTTAAGTTTAATGTTAAAATTGGATGTGAGTACTACAGGTTAGGACCGGAAGTGTTCACTTTATATACATGTAGATTATTACTGGACCGGAAGTGGTGACAATCAGCGGTACATCTGTAAGTGACACAGCTGATGCACAGAACCTCTCTATGTTGATCACATATTAATTCACATGTCAGTGACAAAATGTAGTAGTTTTTCATCAGATCCAGAGTAAAATATGTTTCAACTAAATTCATTTGTCTATGCATAAACATTTTCGATGGACCTAGAAATGTTACGTTACAAAAGCCGATACATCGCTGTGTCTAAAATTAACATGTTGATACGCAAAATAAATAAACTGAACTGACATCCTCAAAGCAGTGAGAGTAACCAACAGGCGTCGTTCTGTGATATAAATCTCTTCAAGCGTGTTCTACATGGGCTTTTTCAAAGAGACATGAACTATCAAGACCATTTTTATCGGGCAAATACATTTTCATACAAAAATACCTTTCAATAATTTGGATGTTCACTGTTAAAATGCAGTTTCGGTAAATGGTGGTAAATGATATAACGTTGGACTATTGTCCATAATCTTATATGATCAGGACATGAATATTTATAAATGATGTTGAAAAATGATGTTTAAATGTGTCATGCGCATTATTCATATGATAAACAAAAACGAAACATTATTAAGATAAACAAAATTAAATAGCATTTACATACCCGAAAGTGCAAAACCCAAGAATATTACCACGACAGCAAGTATTTTCTTCATATTCGTTGTTGAATTCCAAATTTTCCTTATACACTTTACTACAATTTCACAAGAAGCTTTTAAGATGTCATAAAGATGTTATTTGCTCATATAAACACATTATGTAGTCGCACAATACACACGCACACCGACAGCAGCACAGGACATACGAACAGCTGCTTAAAGGGTGAAGTACGATAGTCAACCTTGACCTTTAAATAATTTGCGCGCGAGCTTGGACTAGTATGAAACAGCGGGCGTGGTAACACCAACCTTAATTATAAACAACTTTCTTCCTCTGTTAGACACCGTTGGCTGAGTCTGAAGCTGACGGGAGACACGTTGCCTCAGAATAAATATCTCATAGGGACAAAAGTGGTATCACATATTTGTGAAATGTAAGCAGTTCTTATCGATGTTGTGAGAAACATTTTCAGTCTCTCATACCAGTATGTGTCGTTGGCTGCACGCGGCCGTTAGTGTACATAGAAGACTGTTGAATTCGCAGTGTTTATCAAAAGAAGCGGAATTAGTGTATGATAATGTGATCGGCTAATTAAATCAGGACGCTGGCAGCAAGATTCGGAAATAAAATCAACGTGGACATGTTGACATTTCTTTCCAAGATTCAAGAAAATTATGGTGTGGTTTTAAACATTGATGATTTTCAATGCCAAGTTAAACTTTCGAAAAGAATAAGGTTTTTTGATTGAACATATACCTATGTCGACCTGTTGGGATTTAATTTAATTGGCATATATCAACATCTGATGAACAATTTGTGTCTCGAAATACGAAATACAATGTACGTTGTTTTTCTAATTTTTTTCAAAAAACGAATTGGTATTTTGAAAATAAAACAAATGTTTGACCAATTTCAAATTCTCATACAAATTTTACCTTTTTACAACACATCGTCAGGTTGTTAATCTAAATCCCTAGGAATGACTTATACGACGATAATGTTTTAAGTTTTGATGTTAAGACACCCCCCCCCCCCTTGTACTCTTAATCGTTTTCTACTGAAGTTTTATCCCAAGTGCGTGTATCTCGCTCTAAACACATCCAAGTTGTACAGTGTTTTGTCATCTTAACCATTGATATTTTAGTTACTAGAAATCTTACGAGGAGAGTATTCGGAAATAAAATACTCACTGCATGATATCAAATCTCAAAATATATATGCACATGGTAGCATATAAGCCAAATACTAGACTATTCTTTCTGATATCAAAACTTGTTATAACAAAGATTTGCCTTTTTAATGGCGATAGTAGATTTTTCCCAACTGGCCTCGTGTTCTTTCAACAGCTATGATTTTTTTTGGTTTTTTTGTTTTTTTTGTTTTTTGTTTTAACGTCCTATGTGTTTAAGGTTCTTATCATTTTATAGTAATATTTCATACAGCCGAGTCACAACAATTTTATAAAAGTTGTAGGCTTTTCATTACATGTAGATATTTATCTGGGAAAAAACTAGACGATTGCATTTTCGATCATATCTAATAAATCCGTCAATGTCAATTATATTTTACTTAAAAATAACAAAGCAAATTATTTTTTTACTATTAATAACGATTTTATTGTTCAATTACATTAACCAAATCATTGCCAAACATGAAAATTTGAAGCAGGTCTAGAATTACTTCCATTTCAGAACAGTTCATCGGACTTTTCATGTGCTAAGGGGCAATATATGTCCATATACATGAACATATACCACTGCAAGGTTGTACAAAAGACACATAATAGTATAATAGTATAGCCAATATGGTAAATAAAACTACATCGTGCAGTTAATTTGTCATCTCAAGATATAAAAAAGGTGAAAGCTATAGAAGGCGACTGCAGAACTCTATAGTTTATCGATTGAAATGTCAAAATCTAGATGGGTAGGAACTGTAACCACAACTAACGTTAAGACTTTATTTTAAGGACGACTATACTCATGTATGTAGATTATTTCGTTAAAGTATAGATATATCAGTTCCATTGTCTTCATTGTAATCGCAGTGTGTATTTAAGACTTAGATTTGAGATAGATAACCCCAAGTTTTATACACTGCAAATTATATTGGAGCGTTATCAAGCGTTTGACTGGATCTGTCGGTTAGGGGAGGTGAGGGTGACAATATTCGTTATACTATGTGTGACGATCATAATTACATGATTTATCGTATCTAGACTCTCTCTTACCCGATCTTCTTTTATGCCTTCGTTTACTACTTTTCTTAGATCTATTTATATCTTCTTTGAAGTTAGAGGAGTCGTCTCCCCTGTCTGTGTATTTAAGTGTCGGTGATTGTAAGTTGAATATTGTAGTTCCCTGAATTATGATCTGTTTAGGTAGCAGGAAACAGTTAATTTGCTTTTTTCCTGAAATTATTGGTCATGTTTGAGATATACAGGTATAGCAGATTGGTTATGAAAAATACATCATTTCATGTATATATATATTTGTAAACTACATAACAATTACATTAACAGTAGAGAGATAAAATGTGTGTAAATCAAACATTTCCTCTGATTTCTGACATGTCATTGTCATGGTTACCTACTGAAAAAATGCTAAAAATGCTAAAATACTGCTTATTCCAGCATAACACTTCAACTTTCTAGAAGAAATTTCATTCTAAACACCTATCTTAAAATCAACAACACTGTCGTAGTAACAAAGTACTTACATTTTAGATTGTCACAGTGTATTCTTATACAGAAGAAAGGAATATTTTAATGCAAACTTTCACTATTTTGAATGTGGTATTCAATAAGGATACAATTTTGTTCAGAAATCATCATCTTACCGTAGACTTTAAATCATTTATCTTCAGACATGTGCAGTCCATTATTATGTCTTGTAACAACTTTTTATTTTAAAAATAAAAAAAAGTACATGTATACATTTTTCCTCAATAGAAATTTTTTCATGTAAATGTGTATCGGAAGATGTTATACCCTGCGCCTTTCCCTTGTTCTAATGTTGACAATAATTGAGTTTAAATCAGAATAAATCAACTGACTGTACATATGTGTATCACGGCAGATAAGGTTACGGTTCAAAGAAGCCTATGTTTTATAACTTTGCTTAATGTCAGTCCTGTGTCTACATACCAAGAACTCATACGAAACTATGTCATATAAATATTAGTGTATATAATGATGAAAGAAGCAAACGTTATGGTGACCTCCCACTAAGTTATTTACAGTTTGGTAATGTGCCTTTTCCCTCAATAGCCAATGGTTTGACAGGTATACTGTACAATGTGAAGTGGTACACAGGTCCCTAATTAAACAGATATGTGTTTATTTATAAACACAATGACACGTGTGCACAACTGTTAAGCATAGCGAGTATTTACTGGATATTTCCAGAAAAGAAGATATACAACTTATGAATATTCAATACATCAAAATCTCGAATTCGTAGCGCAGAAATGATATTTCAATATTTGCATTCCTCGGATATGTCGAATTCTCGAGACTACGCAATGTTTTGATATTATTTATAATCTTGATTAATCATTACATCTGCTTGCGAAACCACAAACATTGGCGGCTCTGTCATATATATGTCATCATTGCGATTCTTATAACAATTACAGAAGAGTCCGAGTTGAAAATAACTTACATATCTTAAACTATAACTGATAACAATATTCCGTTTAATTTCGGGACGATGTGGCAACAATAATTGTAATGTTTGGTCATTTTGACTAGTTATACCCTACACTCATAGTTATAATGTACTGGAGATTCTTTTGAAAATCATTTGAAATATTAATCGTTTTAAACACGATTGTTAATTCAAATTATTGAACTGATATATGTATAACACGTATGAACACCGATGTGAAGTCATGTTAATTAGAGGCGGTTTTGAATCTATTTCAACTCGCTAATGTTTTAAAAAATACTTTTTCATCGTTATGCTGGTATGAATTGACAATAACATTGAAAATATTGTAGTTGAATTTGAGAAAATAACAATTATGTGTTTCTTGTATTCATAAAAGGATGGTGCAAAGGTACAGTGTAAATTAAGATTTCCTCAAAATCATTTACAGCCTGTCTGATACATCTCATAGAAGTTTTATCACAAACCTGTTTTATAACAAGGAGATAAATGTTTTCATTTGTACAAGCTACCCCTTCATCATCCTGTCCATGGATAACGTTATGCATGATCAATACGTATAACAGACTGGATTGATCGCTAATCTTCTATATTCATTGGTTAACGCGTCCGTCTAGGGTCCCGACGGCCTGGGTTCGAGTCTCAGCCTGTGTGTTACTTTATTTCTGGTCCGGTGACAAATAAATAAACATACGATACAGAAAACATGTTTGTATATCTCACGAAAACTTTCCGAATATGCCTGAAGATGATTATTTTCTCGCAAAGCAATAAAACAAAAAAGGATAACGATATACAGGGAATAGCCATGATTATTGTGATTTCTCTGTGTAGATGTAAATGTACGCCCCCGGGGAACATTTGCCGAGTGCTGTCAAGATGCCCCTAACGAGGTCATGACCTTTTCTGACCAACAACAAAACATTCATCAATGTCTATTGACAAACTAGTATCGGAATCATAGCATAGCGAAAGAATATATATATATACATTGTGTATATATACACGGATATGAAATGAGGCACATGGTGACAGGAATATGCTATTTTGAATTTCCCAAGAAGAAATAAAAAAGTGAAAATAGTGAAATTTGATGTCTTGTATATGTTTGCTTTTTAAGTTTTAGATACTGTGGGAGTAGATAACAGACGAATACGGCTTGTTAATTTAGGAGTTGACGACAAGTCAGATACGGTCGTTATCGACCAGAAGGGATCCAATTCAAAAACTATCCGTAGACTACTCTTACGTACATAAATATTACACCAAACTGTACGATCCGATTTTTTTCTCTTCAATTTATTGTCTTTATCATTTGTGCTCTCAATATTCTTTATCAATGTCAAGAAAAGGACACATTTCGGTGAAGCAGGGTCAATAAAATTTCATTGGAGTTGTTTTGTTGTTATGTGAAGCGATCTAACAACAGAAACAATTAAGCATTGGACTAGTTTCGTTTTACATATATCTGAATGCCATCAGAACAAGGGCAAATGTAAAATTTGTCGTTATCTATCCAGTAGGTATTCCGTCCTATTACTCAGAAATGCTGACTGTTCAATGATTATGTTTATTTTTTTTATTAATCACGTTCTTAATTTTTTTCATTGATTGCAATGTGCCTCTGCCGTTGGCAGTTAACGAGCGGAACATGCACAACTTACTTTGATAAAGTTACACTGTAGTTGTACTTTGGTAAATACACCGTAGATGTACTTTGGGAAAGTTACACCGCAGATGCACTTTAGGAAAGTTACACCGCAGATGTACTTTGGGAAAGTTACACCGCAGATGTACTTTGGTAAAGTTACACCGTAGATGTACTTTGGTAAAGTTACACCGCAGATGTACTTTAGGAAAGTTACACCGTAGATGTACTTTTGGGAAAGTTACACCGTAGATGTCCTTTGTTAAAGTTACACCGTAGATGTACTTTTGGGAAAATTACACCGCAGATGTACTTTGGTAAAGTTACACCTCAGATGTACTTTGGGAAAGTTACACCGCAGATGTACTTTGGTAAAGTTACACCGTAGATGTACTTTGGTAAAGTTACACCGTAGATGTACTTTAGGAAAGTTACACCGCAGATGTACTTTTGGGAAAGTTACACCGTAGATGTACTTTGGTAAAGTTACACTGCAGATGTACTTTGGTAAAGTTACACCGCAGATGTAATTTAGGAAAGTTACACCGTAGATGTACTTTGGGAAAGTTACACCGTAGATGGCCTTAACAACGATAAAATTTAAATTAACTTTCTCATGCAGACATCATCAATGGAGCATTTATAGACCAAATTCCGATATTTATTCCAACAAATCAGAATCCTATTCCTATTTTCTGCCAGCTGATATGTATAATTGTACTACAATTATCTATCTAACTTGATCAACTAACAATACATGTATGTATGGAAACCCACATTTGGTAGTTAGCAAAAAGCTTTGAAATTTCAAACATATAGATGTAATATATTCACAAATCAATAAATTAAAGTAATAATATCTTGGGTAAAGACATCATTTCGCACGAAAGTCATTTTGATCAAAAGCATTACAAACAACCCCAAAATAATCCAGTTCCACTTGAGACTGAGGCTGCTTAAAAACCATTCCAGCAAACCTAAACGGGCCCCTCGATGTATAAAGGGGCCAAGACAGGGTTCTGTTCTGCACAGCCTCTTCTGTTGGATCTCCGTTCGGGTTTTCAAATTTTGCAAAATTTGTCCAATATATTAAAAGTTCGTCTGCCACATGCTGGTCCTCCATTGATAACCTGAACCCTCCGTGATGAACTGATTGAAACAAAAAAGGTATTTCAGCGGCATGGCAGGCTTTGTTTTTACAGTAAGGAACATATCGACTTGTATTTAGAAATTTCCATGGATAATCAAACACGTACAGCCATGTTGCATTCCGTCTTTCGAGATCCCTTGCAATTTTTCTTGTAGGACATGTAAATACAAGATCTGTCGCTAGTTGCGAAAATTCTTCACGTGCATCCGCCACGTTTCTTGGGAAATACCTCAAAAATAAATTCATTGCATCTCTTGGCTTCAATAAAAACAACATGGCCGAAAATGCCCCTCTGCTAAGGGGTGCCTTAAATGTCTTGTATATGTAAGGCACTCCCTCATTGGCTGTCGTGCCGAGCATTACGGGTTTCCGAACAAACACGCCCATCTCAAATGCCGATTGCAAATTCAGTGGAACCTCGTTCCCGTCTAAATGTGGTGCCCATGGCATGAACCGCTGTAGAATAGTTCCTGTTGATGTTGACGTCCTTTTCTGAGCGTCAATTATTTCCATGGGGGATTTTTGTTTCATACATTCAAAATCCTGTGTTGGGCACCCTAACTCCGCACTAAAGCTCCTGCCTTGGTCCAAAGCTTGTTCATATGTTTTGAAAGGAATACTAAACGGTGCGCTCTGTAAAATCGCCCTCTGGAACAAATGTTCCGCATTACCAGAGGTTAGATGTATGGCTGTCGAGGTGGCGCCGGCACTTTGTCCGAATAATGTGACCTTAGAAAAAAACAACAAATATTTTATAGTTATATTCTTATTACAGATCATTTACGATACACAACAAATGAGACATTTGAGACAACTGTTTTAAAGATGTTTTGATGAAGGAAAACAAATTATTTATATTTATTTTCATTACATTTAATCGCATACAAGCGTACTATGTTAACTTACGTTTTGGTGCGATAAGAAATTGTAAATCCCAAATGAATGGATTCTTGACTGTCAAGTGGGACCCTGTTTTAATTCGTTAATAAAAACAAGGTGCGCACATATACATGATTCCTAAACCAAAACAAGTTAATATAATGTCTTTCAGCTTCTAACAAAGTTTTTAGAGTATCTTAAGTCATGATCTAAATAACATCAATTCAAAACAAAACAGTCCTTCCTTAGAAAATTATTGAAACATTGTATCATTCTTCGGAATCAGCATATTATTATCTTCTTCGTGTACAACCAGAAACAAAAAGTAAGAAATTGACAGATTGTCAAAAGAATGATTTCGTTTAAAATCAAACTTTACTCAGTCTAAGTTACCTGTTCGGGATCCCCTCCGAAATTGAGGATGTTGTGTTTGATCCACTGCAGAGCAAGTCTCTGGTCATGTATTCCGTAGTTCCCTATTGCGGCTCCAGGTCCACTTCCGGTTACAAGGAACCCCAACGCCCCTGTCAAACAGAAGAAGCATTACGATACAATGTAAACCTTGCCTTAACATTCTGCAAAATTAAACAAAAAAAACTCTCTATAAATACTAATGATATGAGCATTGCTCGAGACACAGTTTACTGTAACTAACATTTTTCGGTAAGACCGACATCTATAGGAGAACTTTCCGTGTAATTCCCTTTACAGTTTTCTTACAAATTCGTTATATATTTTTTTCATTATAACTCGATACAGCTTGTCCGGTAAATGCACACTACTTGTAGCATGGCACGTTGGAATTAATTGTAAATAGATTGACATGTTTGAAAATCTAGCATGTGCTCGCGTCTGCATTCCTAAAACAAAGACATTGAACAATGTACTTTTGTCATTTATATTCTGAATACTGCGTTGTCCTTGCATTACAAGTTTACAGTTAATACAGTATAGACGGCGATTCCACATTGCAAACTTACCCAGTCTATAGTTGAACGTGACCAGTATGACGTCACCTTTGTTTACGAAGCGTTCCCCGTTGTAAATGTCCGCGCCTGCGGTGTACGATTCAAATCCTCCTCCATGGATGAAAACCATCACTGACTTGTTACCCCCGGGCCGAGCATCCACGGGGACATACAAGTTCAAAAAGAGACAATCTTCCGACATCTGAAACATCAACCTTTATCTCTCACATACCAAGTCTATGATAAACGTAATTTGTGCTAGTTTTTAAGACCAGGAAAATACATATCTCAATAAAATAAGAAAAGAAAGAAACCATATAGGTCATATATTGTGTCTATGTTAGAAAGATTCCGAATGGCAGAAATTACAAGTTGAGGAAGTCAACCATAGGGCGAAACACCAATTTACCAATCAATCCATTCGAGTCAAGAGAACTAAGACACCGATAACGTTTATGAACAAACCACATGATCATTTTGACTAACTTTCCGTAAACTTTAATGATAAGTTTACCACTGTCTATAGGCATAACCTAACCATCGGCTAGTGGTTCTGGGGCAAAGCGAAGAAAATCGCTAAGCGCGTGTATCCTTGTGTTTGTAAAAAGTCAAAGATTTCAAAAACATAATATGCATTGATATGACGTCCTGAGTGAGTTTATGGAATGTAAAGGACACTGAACATGCGAAAGCTCCAACAAAACCCAACGGTCATCTCTCCGAATACGCAGAACACTTTATATTCCACTGCAAGATAGCACATTAGCATGTACATTGTACCTATATATTCTCATTCATACCCAAGGCCGTGATACGACCATGACCTTGATAGGAGGCATTGTATTTATATATATACTTATGTACAATGTATATCTTCTTTCTCCAATATGAAAACTATAATCAGATTTAAAACTAGACATACACACAACATATCAGATTTAAAAGCAAGCTATCTTTCTGAATTCTATTTTTATTTTCAAATGAAAATTTATACCTATTATTATAAATCTATTAAAATGAAACAATTTTCAATAACTACACGTCACACACTCAAACCGTCAAAAAGTGTGTTATGATTCCAATAGTGACTGCAATATAATTTTGTATGATCAAAATGAAGAATTTGGGAGCATTGCCATTGGTACTATGAAATATTGAGGGCGTGATGCCTTACCTGTGGAAGACAAACTCCGGGGACCTCGTCAGCCCCGCACTCTGGTTGGAAACACATAGGACGAGGCTGGGTGGCGTCCCATACCCCGACCCATCTGGGCGGAGGCTGAGAATGTTCCCACCTGAAACATACACCACATTATAATAACTTTTTCATCTTAAAGTGAAATGTTTTGTTATGGACAAATAAACAGAAAAGCAACCCTTTATCACACAACATCATCTCTGTTCGTTGCCGTTATTTGGCTTAACATCACTCTTTCTCAAAACTTTATTTTTCAAATTTTCACGTCAGAAATAAAGGACTTGGCATTAAATAATTTAAGAACGTATGTCCTAAGAAAATTGTGAATTTTTTTGTTATTTTTTAAGCTAAAATTGCGGCTTGAATATTTATATTTCAACACACCAGACTTATTTTTCTATATTGTCTAAACTTTTTTTATTCAAAATCATTCATGTTTAGATACATTTATAAAACTTGTTTTTAATACAATTTATGTCAAAATTTACAACATATAGACAATCAGACAAATTAACGAATATATGACATTTATAAACATCAGTCTTAAAATGATCTATCTTAATACGGCCATTCAACTGTATATATATATGAACTTACATATCTATAATAAACAGAGAGGGTTTCGAGAGATGGAAAATATGTGAAGTTTAACAGTCGCCATAGTAACATCATTGAGAAATTTTAATGTATTTTTTCATTATGCGATTAGATGCTGGAAGTGTTTGATGCTCGTTGCTAGGTTACGTTGCCGCAGACCTATTTCTCCATTTTAGAACGTGTAATCACTTACTTGGATTAACTCAAGATTCATATGGCGGATGTTTACGATGAAAACGAAGACGCGTACTTTTCAGGAGCACGTGCTCTTATTCTCCCTATGCTGTTTTAGCAGTCTCCGTGTTATAAACTAGTTCTTATTTCATCACCGTTTAATCGAATTTGTGTTAGATTTATATCCCATTGACATAGGTCTATTTCCAAAGTCCAGCTTGACTACTTCTTTAGTTCAGGAAACCCCTCTCAAATAAGCGCTAATAATGTTACTTAATAATTTTGAAAACGAGGCAGATTATTTTGGAATAAAAAAAATAAGACATGATGGCGGGCAGAAATGACAACGACAGTAATGATACAGTCATTCAACATCGGATTTTGTTCTGGGTGTGGCAAATGTAATTTGATAACTCCATTCAGAATTACGAAATCGGTGACATTGATTGCCAACATCGCGACCGATTCAGGTGGGAAGCCATTTTTGTTTAGTGACGACCGTGTTTTTGTGCGAATGCGTTATTATATATAATATTTACATATCCAGACTTCTGATCAGCAGGTAAGGATTTCCGTTATATAATTATGTATTATCCTCTTTATGTCTTTATGTGAATATTTTAGCGAAAACCAACTTTCATTGTTCATAAGGCGATACACTTGATATATATATATGCAATAATGAAAAAGTGAAAAAGTCGTTTTTGTCGCTTTAAGTAGTAGTAACTAATAACTGTAAATGAAAAACATGATTTTGATATAAATATTTTAACAAAAATCCAGAAGTCATATATAGGATGGAAAGGAAATTCTACAGAATTGTTAATTCTACCTTTCTGGTGGCGATGCATAAGGTATCCCTTGGAAAACGATAGCTTCCGGTGTGACACGCCCCCTTACCCAACCGTACAATGTCTCGGCATAGACACACATACAGACTGGAACACTCCCAAGCAACACAAATACCCGTAATATTGTTGTCACGTGATTAATCCACATTGTAGTATCCAAGGAAATCCTAGGCGTAAAATTATCCGATATGTAGGAAAAATATCCACTGGGCAGCTTTTTTTCCAAAACGTATGCAGTTGTGAAAAATGAAGAAAAAACAACTGTCCGAGGTCATAACACGACCAAATTAACACTATTTTGCAGAAGTTTTGAAGGAAAACTGATATTCTTGTTCTTCAAATCCGCCAACAGAAAGCACACGCCTTTCTTTTAATGATATTGATTCAATACTTAAAGTTATATCTTCTGACTTATCCTCTAGCGTATCAGAACACGTGTTTTTACATTTCAGTGTGATTCAAAGTCTCCAAGGTGTACGACCTCGTCAAAATCTTTGGTGAGTGGGACGAAGAGCGACGTAAACCATTCATTGACGTTAATTGTCCGGTCTAGTCATCCATCAGACCTTACCATAACGACTTCGGCCCTATACACGTCAGGTTATTTCAGTACCTTTACCTGGCTGGACAGTGGTCATCTACTACCATTGGCGGTAGTCCATGTACTACAACATCTACCTGAGTAAAGTCATTCTGAATACACATGCTCATGGTTTGTGTAATTACATGTGGTCACTTCCGGAACCAATGTCGTCACCAACAGGAAGTTGTTTATACCGTTGTGAACCAAGACGTGGTCTCGGTGTTTTTGAGGTTAAACGGTGTCATGAATTAAATATCTGGGAGTGGAAAATGATTGAGTTGTTAAATATGTATGTGGGTTTGTTTACGTGTATATGGTTATACACATACTTATACCCAGGGACAGTATAAGATAGGGGATTTCCCATTATAAACAATTCACAATAGGAAAAATATCAACAAGATGCTGTATTGCATCGTTTTTTTTTTTTTTTTTTTTCATAACAAGTTCGATGTTGATAATTTTCAAATGAATAGTGTTTCTTTTCTTTTCTTTTTTTTTTTTTTTTTTTTTATTGTTGTTATTTTTTATTGGCAATTTAAGAAATGTTATTTCCCAAAAATTACTTTGCAAATAGCATTTTTATACAAGATTTAACCCAGTTTATCAGTTTAATACAGTTTATCTACATTCATTCATTTATTCAAGCGAAATTCATATCAATGCACGAGAGAGAGGGAGGAATATAAGAGAGGGGAGAGACAGAGAGAGAGAAAGAGAGACAGACATACAGACAGACAGACAGAGACAAACACAGAGAGAGAGGGGGGAAGAGAGAGAGAGAGAGACAGAGAGAGAGAGAGAGACAGACAGACAGACAGACAGACAGACAGACAGACAGACAGACAGACAAGAGACAGAGAGAGAGAGAGAGAGAGACAGAGAGAGAGACAGAGACAGATGAGAGAGAGAGAGGGGGGGAGAAAGAGAGAGAGAGAGAGAGAGAGAGAGAGACAGAGACAGAGACAGACAGACAGATAGTATCATCTTCCATGTCCATTTATACTATAAAGAATAAGAGCCAATTACAACGATATCTAAATTTTATAAGATGATGCTTCCTATCATTTTTTTTCGACAATTGGCGAACGTAAAGTCTAATGATTAAACGGGCATAACATACTCTGTGGATATTCTTATTTTAGAATATTGTATAACGCTACATTACACTTGGTACATTTTCGCAGTCATTTCTAAAAACATTGACAATGTATAAGAATATAAGACTCTTTTCTATATGGGTATGTAGGATAGGGATATTCCACCCGAGGGGTCACAAAATGTGGTAAAACCCGAGGCTTGCCGAGGGTTTTTACCATATTTTGTGATCCCGAGGGTGGAATATCCCTATCCTACATACCCATATAGAAAAGAGTTTTTTCTCTCATTTCTAATCTCATATTATCAAATATTTGCACTCACCTCGCGGTAGCCATCACTGGACGCGGCCATTTTTCAGATTTCTATTTTTTTTCCTTGGGCCATATACATAAAAAATATGCTGAAATAGATTCTCCATCCCCGAATTTTGCAAACTATGTTTGCGGTCGAAAACATAATATGGACTTTGAATGTAAACATCCAACGTCAGTGTTTAACTGTTTTTTCTTCAAGCGGGCTGGGTCAAATACCCTGTCAAATATATCACCCAGAGACATGCGTACGCGTTCAAATATAGTGCCTTAAACACGCAATAAAACAACACTTTTCTTTTTAATATTTACTATTGCTCAATGTATAATATATCATAAACACTTTTTACATCTTTGAACATGTTGGTCAAGTTATTAATACTACTTCACTACCAATAGTAATCTTACAAATCTTACACATTTATGAATGGAATTCTTGGTTTGCTTGTGAGATGACGTCACTTACGTCACACATTTCGCGCCACACCGACAGAAGGAAAGTTAGTCATTGTCACTTTCAATCACACGTGGACGACGGCGGAAAGGCCGAGTCCCCTGGGTTGGTGATGTTGATATTTATAAAACAGTTTTGTTAATACGAGCCTGCAAACAATGACTCCAATCGACTATGCATGTTTGGGATGAAGCGGATGACGAGGACATAGTCGATGAGTGCGCGGGAAAAAACTATGAATTACTCCGCGCGCGAGGCTTTATTACACAGGCGCCTGTGTAATAAACGTCTATCATGACCATGTTTATTGCCCTGGACAGGCCTATCTGACACAGGTGGAAATGAGAGAAACTGTATACATACGCTTCCTTTTTAAACTTTTACACCTTAAAGTGATTGAGTTTTCTCCTTCTTCCATACCCCGCGAGACTTTATATACGTGAACTCATTTTCCCACATTCCAAAATTTCTTGTTTGTGAGAAAAACGTCGCTTTCTTAATAGATCATGGATTTAGCTCTTGGCTTAAATCAATCAATTATCCAGTTATTATCTCCTAATTGTGACTAATTGAAGAGGCAAGCCTTCGGCCTCTGTAATTATAATGCCTTATAACCACCTTTTGAACCACTTCTAGTTTATTATAAAGATACCCTCTGGATAAGTATACACCGAACGTCAATAGATTGAATTAAAGTCTATTGAGCAATTACAGGAACAGCATAACAGCCATTTGAATAAGTGATATTATGTAGAACCATGTACAGCTTGTTTTCTTGATCAATATCAGTTTACTATGTCATATCTTTACAAAAGAAATTTTCATTATAACTTGAATGACACACAATAGGTGTACTATATATTTCTGTCTCGTAGAGTGCAATTCTACTTTTTTGAACGATATGAAAATGGACGTGTTTGATGCTCGTTAGTTTTTGCTTTGTTTTTTCATTGTTTTTTATACCTTGTTCTCATTTGGGAACGTAACGTTACTCTCTTAGTTTAACCAAGATGTCGTCAGTGAAGCAGAAGACGCTTGTTCTTTCGGAACGTCTGGTCTTATTCTTCTTGTACTGTTTCAAGAGTGTAACGTGTGAGTATATTCAATATATATCGTGATATCTTCTTTAGTATATGTTATTTACATAGAACATATGGTTTAGTTCTTGTCCGAAATTATTATTTTAGACTAATCTGTTATTGCCTTGCACTTATGCAATGTTACTTGTAAATGGTGGAGCAACTATGTTGTACGACAATGAAATAAAGAAATGAATGAGTGTTTCTGAAGTACAAACTAGTTTATCGTTTTGTAACAGAAATACATCATATATGATTAGGACGAGTGATAAACAGCTCAGCCCAAAGGCAGTAAGTAGCGATCACGTGATCACGAGGAAATGCCGTCATCCATCACACGCGTTCCAGATATACAGGACATACGATGGAATTCTTATCTTTATGATATATCAATAAGCAGTATATAATACGTTACACAATATACTCCGTTAATAATGGGGTCAACTACTTATATAATTAGATAAAATAGATTACCTATGATGAATTGAACACACGGTACAGTAGTGATATTGGGGTCAAGTTCGTACTTCATTGAAAAGAACAGTATCCGGTAGGGATCATATTAACAGCCTTGTTGGCCAAAATATTCAAACAACGTGCTTCCAGCAAAATTTGGTATTTCTTGAATTTACCAATTACCGCGTCCCTCGTCATCGATATATTTATCTCATTTACGCAATGCACAGTGTATCTGTCGTTCTTTACAGAAGGATTTTTAAGGAAGTGTGTTCAGACATTCATAACGAGAAGCAAACGATTTGATTTTACACGACTTAGCTGTAAATTGTATTGCCTATGTCAATGTAATGAAAACTGTCTGGATTCTGTAGTCATGTCGGCAAGTGGGACCCTGCAGATCTATAAATGGTCATATAGAAAGTGATGAACTGGTGTGATTGTAGTGTGGATTATGATGTGCACAAATTTGTCTTGTCTGCATCCAGCCAGCCCTGTGGCATCCATATAGTTACTTTTACTACATGAGTACAACGTGGTACGGTTTTTTTTTCAACTGTACATATAAATGATTAGTGTGTCCTTTATATCAAACCCATACACATATAGTATATCAACAGCATATTATCGGTGCATATAAGCAGTGGCTAATTTAAAGGACTGGGAATAGGTAAAGGGGTATATACCGGAACGATCGCAAGTGCTGGTGTTGCTTTTGAAACCACACCAAGAAATGTTTACTTTGCGTTTTATAAAAAGTTCAAAATCATATCAAATGTCCTTTACTGTATAATAATGAAGACATATTGCCAGTGATTTCAGCTCACCCTTACAGCTATTCTGTATTTGTGAGTACGAGAAAACAGAGAAACGTTAGTAAATTCGCATTTTTGTATACATCCTCCTTGTAACATACTGTACGTATATTCGTATAATTGAATGGTTGAATGAAACAGTGCTTATACCAAAATTATGCATTTATTTATAGTAAACCAACTACACACGGTATACCAACTACACACGGTATACCAACTACACACAGTATACTAACTACACACAGTATACCAACTACGCACGGTATACCAACTACACACAGTATACCAACTACACACGGTATACCAACTACACACGGTATACCAACTACACATGGTATACTAACTACTCACAGTATACCAACTACACATGGTATACTAACTACACACAGTATACCAACTACACACGGTATACCAAATACACACGATATACAAACTACACACGGTATACCACCTACACACGGTATACCAACTACACACGGTATACCAACTACACACGGTATACCAAATACACACGATATACAAACTACACACGGTATACCACCTACACACGGTATACCAACTACACACGGTATACCAACTACACACGGTTTACCAAATACACACGGTATACCAACTGCACACGGTATACCAACTACACACGGTATACCAACTACACACAGTATACCAACTACACACGGTATACCAACTACACACGGTATACCAACTACTATACCAACTACACACGGTATACCAACTACACACAGTATACCAACTACACACGGTATACCAACTACACACGGTATACCAACTACACACGGTATACCAACTACACATGGTATACCAACTACACACATTACACCAACTACACACGGTATACCAACTACACATGGTATACCAACTACACACATTACCAACTACACACATTACACCAACTACACACGGTATACCAACTGCACACGGTATACCAACTACACATGGTATACCAACTACACATGGTATACCAACTACACACAGTATACCAACTACACACATTACACCAACTACACACGGTATACCAACTACACACGGTATACCAACTACACATGGTATACCAACTACACACGGTATACCAACTACACATGGTATACCAACTGCACACGGTATACCAACTACGCACGGTATACCAACTACACACAGTATACCAACTACACACATTACACCAACTACACACGGTATACCAACTACACACGGTATACCAACTACACATGGTATACCAACTACACACATTACACCAACTACACACGGTATACCAACTGCACACGGTATACCAATTGCACACGAGGTAACTACACACGGTATTCAGTGAGGTAGCCACCAGCTTAAACAAGGCGACTTCATCTCAAAATGACCCTTGCTGGTCAAGGGGCGATAATTCCAGCAAACAAACAAACCAATATACAAACAAGCATATATTCAACAAGCAAAATATTTTGCAACAACTTGACAACGTTCGTGTAGAAGGCAAGTATTTGATTATATTGACGAGTATCATTAACAATACCAGACGAAGAGAGGTAACTCTAATTGTCACGAGAAGGAATGATCAAACTATACAACAGCTGGTGAAATTGTTATCAAACTTTATCAACAGCTGCCAGTGCTACACACTTTCACACATTATCATACGGTGTCCCGAAAGGAACATCACAGTTTTTTTATTTTCTTAAATCCGTGGTCTCGGTTTACTAATGCGTGGCCTTGATTTAGTAATCCATGGCCTTGGTTTAGTAATCCGAGGTCACGGTTTAGTGGTTCTGTGGCTTTGTGGTTCAGATTCTGCTACCAACTATAATATTTTACCAGAAAGAAAAGTGTCTTTGAATTGATTTATTTAAAATAAGAGTTTTTGCATCTTACTGCCGATGTTTTGATATTTCAATTAAAAATTTATTCATGTATTTTATTATTTTATGTTGATGTTGATCTGTATCATAGGACAAAGGCATTGTCCACACCCCGTCTCTAATTGTTCTTCCAACAAAATACATCTCTATTTTCCAGCATATTTCTTGCATGAAGCACAGTAGCTGGTATCAATATGCAGTGAATAAGAACAAAAAATAAGATAATTGGTAGTTATGTGTTATTACAATTTTTCGTGCTGTTCTTATCCCACACAATTCATTGCATTGATGAAGTGTTAATCACCTGGAACAGGCACGACATCTCACGTCACAGAAAACACTTCGTCTGGATCATGTTTCACCAGATTTAAGCCATTAAACTTTGAAATGCAAGGCACAAGCTGACTGTATTTTACCATTAATATGGCAAACAATTTTCAACATTTGATAGTTTTTAACAATAAGGTAAAATACATTTTACATTTATTTTACTGAAGTGGAATACATTTTACACCATAAATATATAAACGTGTTTAAATTGTATATTATTTCACTTAAATGGAAAGAATTTACCTCAGTTGAAACAAAATTATTATACCCCTGAGGTGGGGGTGGGATATACTGAAATCATTTGGTCAGTCCGTCTGTAGATGTACCACAGAAGTCGGACGTTCTCTGTGTGAAATATTGTTATTATACTACTTGAATGGCAGAATTTCTATATACATGTATAACAGTAGAAATCCTGCAATTTAATTACACTATAATAGCTATATTTCAAACATAGAACGCCCGATTCCCGTGGATGTACCAGCTACTCCTCCTAATTTCAACTACTTGATGTATTTCAACTAAACTTGCTGGCAATTAATGATCCATGTGCATAATCTATATTAAACTACATGATGGATATTTCAACATGCGTAGGTAGTTCGGTTATCTCCCCTTTTTCGGAAGTTGGTACATATTACGTAAATTAATCAGTAATTTCCATAGACTGCTTTACTGTTAAATCATGCTCCTCCATAATAAAAAATTACCCCAGTAGTAAAATGATAGCTCTATATGACAGTTTACATCTCACTAGTTTAGATCATGGGGCGAAGCCGCAGACCTGTTGCCATGGAAGCTACAAATGACGTCCATCTTTACTGATAATTATCTTCCTTTGATTATTTAAAGACGTGTCGTGTTGCACACTTGAGGGCGATCACTGCCAAATCCAGTAAGTAAACCATTATTTCAGTTAAATAAAACAGCCAGTGCGTATTCTATACGTATTTATAAATGGTATAATTGTTTAATAAAGGTTGTATTTAAACCGAGGCCACGTATTACTTAAACCGAGGCCACGGATTACTTAACCGAGGTCACGGATTACTTATACCGAGGTTACGGATTTTTAAACCGAGGTCACGGATTACTTAAACCGAGGTCACTGATTGCTAAACCGAAGTCACTGATTGCTAAACCGAGGTCACGGATTACTTATACCGAGGTCACGGATTGCTAAACCGAGGTCATGGATTACTTAAACCGAGACCACGGATTAACATTTGATTCCTGATGTCCCTTCCCGGGATCCGTACTATCATAAGGTTTCTTATCTTTTGATGTTTGGACATAAAATACCGGATCACGATCACTCATGTATTGGATAAAATTCAGAATACTTATATAACCAATTCCATTCTGTTGTCAACAATACAGAAAACTCGTTTCTTTGGACTGTGTAGGAGCATTTTTCAAAATATTTGTATTTGAATTCAGGACTTTCAGTTTATTCGGCAGTTTACGACACCGCTACACCAAAGACTTACTGTTTGTAGCGTTAACGAGAGGTATTGTCTCAACTACATCTACCTGTAATGAATAAACTTATAGAATATGAATCTAGCGATGATGACTCGTCAGAAGGTCTGTGCAAATCTGATGAGGACGATTCTGTCGTCACTAACGTTCATTCAAAAAGTAAAAATTACGTCGGTGACTCAAAGGATTTTCCTTCCTGTAAACTACATCAGGTTAACTCAATGAGTAACTTCATAACAGAACATCATGATACCGAAAGTGGCTCTGACAAACTTCCGGAAGAAGGAGAGATAGTGAGCAAACCTATCTCCGCTGACAAAACCCCGAATGCAAGGAAGAGCAAATTTAAACGACGAGGTAAATTTGTCATTTATTACGTCAACTGTGTAAATGGTTGCCTGCTGCTAAAATATTTTTAAACGTTGCAAGTCCTTTTCAAATTCTTTTTCAACAAAAAGTCATGACAGCACGTGCACAATATTGATTACATGTACAGGTATACTATTTTTGCTATGTGATAAAATCTGTTTTCTCTCTTTAAGCTTAGGCTACACATTGAACTATGTATGTATCTATTACGTGGGATTGTTTTGACGATATTTTTGCGAAAATGTATATTATAATATTGTACATCTACAGTGATTTTATTTTCTCTTTCATCTTTATATATATGCATGTATATACATATATACGGACACGGAGAATTTACCATATTTTCACTATATATATATATGTGTGTGTATGTGTGTGTAATCGTATCGTTATCCCATTGACTTTCTGTAACTCTTCATTACTGGAGGAAATAAATGTAATAATTATGTTTATGAGCGAGGAAATTCTTGAGAAAAAAAATTAAAACGCAATACAGAAGACAATTTAAAAGATAATCTAAATATCTTAAATTTTGTTTTAGTGCGTTTTTTTAAGTTCTGTCAAATACTCTCACATCTTAGCAATGTTATTCGGCCAATTCATTGTGTTTCGAGAACCAGATATTCACATCATGAGTTAGAATAATAGTATTCTTGAGAAATCTTCGAATGTTAAGGATGCCACTTCTAAAATGTGTTATGGCATTTTCCTTTTCGTAAAAGGGCAAATTTGTATATGTAAAAATTACGATAATTGAATTGATATATATCATGTACTGTATCAGAGGGCGAACAGAATTATGGAGTGCCGTGTTTACCATTAGCGGAGTCTCTATTAGCCGCCAAGAAAATATGGAAATGTATCCAAACTGACATATAGAATGAAGCGACTTATTCAAAAGTTCCATTTTTTCGAATATATCAAAATTTACATTTTTTTATGCCAATGTACCATCATACTATTTTCATCCGTCCGCCAAACTGGGTGTGCCATTTAGACTGTGACTTTCAAATGAGCGATAGACGGGCGACCAGGAAGTGATGCACGTTAAGATAATGTTTTTATGAATTCAAATACTTTTGCATTTTGCTGTCTTCAGATGCTGTTGTTGCCTTCTCGGCCTACATGCGCACGTGCGTCTGCCAACTGATCGATGGTGTGATTCCGTTCGAGAAAATGACCATGAACTACGGAAAGGGATACAAACGACGCTTAAGCACATTCGTTTGCCCTCGATCTGGTACATACCTGATAACCTGGCGAGTTGTGTTAGTCGAAGTAAGGGAAATAACTCTAAATCTTACGGTAAACGGGGAGGTGAAGAAGCGTACAACGTTTGATTCTACAGACAGTTCAGATAACAACAAATGCGAACGAGAAGAAATCATCAAATTATTCATGCGAGACCGAGTCTGTATGACTTTGTACGATGGTGATAGCAGGTTATTACGTCCAACTAAGTGCAAGTTTGCTGGTATTAGACTTATGAGGTAAAACTAGTCGCTGTGTTAAAAACCTCAAACACAGGGGCGTGTTAACCTGGACCAATCTTGTTTTAGTTACGACATATTTGCTGCATTCGATTCGACAAGCTCCAATAAACACAATTAAGCATGCATAGTCACGTATATCTATCCTTATTTCCAATCGAACTGAATTTATATCGTAACTATGGTTTTAGACCCGTGTGTTGTCTTTCTGATTGGTTGTCTTTTGATGATTAAAATATTCTTTGATTTGAACTCACAATTTTATTTTGTCTTATTGATAATTCACCTACTTAAAATCACAAACGACAGACCAAATCTAGCCTGTGCCTCTGTGTTTGGTTTTTGTTCTTTTTTATGTTTTAGTTTGTTTCTTTCGTTGTCTACCAATTAACATCTCTGCATTTATCTGCAAGTACACTCCAATTTATTTGAAAAAAAAATATAAATTAGATCAACAGTTATTAGTTTTGTGGATAAGCTTACATAGATCAACTGCCTATTTGAAATGATTTGATTTATGATAATTGCTTTATACCTTGTTCCTATCTGAAAACTTTAAATTACTTACTTTGATTGGCCAAGGTTTACATGGCAGGTATCGTCAATGAAGTAGAAGACTCTTACCCTTCCGGAACACAAGGTCTCATTATCATTGTAGTTTTTCTGGAGTCGCCGTGTAAATCTTACTTTAGTTCATATTTTTACCATAGTTTTATTGAATTTGAGTTTAGATAATCATTGTTTTGGAAATATTGGTATATTCCTTGTGTTAATTTCAAGACTCATTCCATAACACAACTAACAGAGAAACTTACAGTGTTTCTATCCATATCACTTAGCTATAGCGTGTAACAGCCCAATTCGACTAAATGTTTTATATATGTCATATATTGTCGCGTTTCCTCATTCAGAGATCGTTGAATTTTGACTTTTTGCACCTTGAGCAATACCCGGCGACATATGCCATTTTGGCTCCCAGCACACACCAGCACCAACCATTATGCAGATTGACCCAATCCAATATGATCAAATATTAGTACAAGCGTGTGCAGATACCTAAAATTGAAAATTCAAAACTGGAAAAAGATGTTCGCATATGCTTTCCGTCTTGACCTCTACAATTAATCGTGTGATCATGGGATATAACGTTCCATTCTAGTTATTGATATTAACTTTTGTGTGTGTGTGTGTGTGTGTGTGTGTTTTTTTTTTTTTTTTTTTTTTTGTTTTTTGTTTTTTTTTTTTGTCAACTAGTTTTATCAACGAGAGTTGTTTTAATTCATTCTTAAATGTCGCAGCGTCTCTTGTCTAAAATTCCGCCTGTTATCCCGAATGATAATGAATACGGCATTTAACTTATTTGAAAGTACTACGGAGTGTTGACAAAGAGTCCGACTAGATAGTGTTGGTATAATATCATCTTTTATACATTTTATCTGTATGATTATAAAACGTCACATAAGCAGAGATTCGGTCAACAGATGAACTACTGTGTGAATCCTTCTTGTATCCAGCAACACACGTGCGTATTACTCAATCGACCTCACACATGTAAACGGTACATGTTAAGGACACTGTCAGGATGTGCACGTGTTAAATTTAAACATGTGAATGTATTTAACCTGATCTCATCAGCTATATACTGAATGTGTTTCAGATCGATCTCTGACAGAAATTGAAATACCAATGGTCCAGAATTAGAACAGCCTATTTTCATGGGTCTCTTCACATGTCTACATGTCGCACGAATATGCAATAAAAATACAAGAAAACAAACTTTAAAATTTTACATTTTAAAGAAAATTAACATATATTATAACGGTTCATGTTTCGCATCTGGACTGGTTTCAAGATTATCAACCATGAAATGTTGAAATTCATAGGCAAATGTTAATGTGTATGATAATGAAAAATGTACAACTAATAGATTGAAAAAAAGAAATTCGAACCAATATGACCCAACAAGTCATAAATGATGGATAAGACTGAAGGATAGCAGGTCGAAATAAAAAGTGGAGAAATGCACGGGTGATTTCGAGAAAAAGAAGTTGTTTATTAACATTAACAATAAGACACATAAACGAAATCATGTTTAATTATTTATAAATCTAGATCAATATATGCAGCAGTTGTTTAGACAACTCCAAGCTTGAGTGAACTTTAAAGTGCCTTTCTTAGTCAGTCAGATAACAATAACCTATAGCAAAACAAATTAGGTTTTATGTCAGAATGATGCGTAAAAGTAACCATACAAACCAAACTGCATGAATTACTTACAAGAACCGGCTCAACCAAATACTTATATGCATGTTCAATAAACCATGTCTCTCTTACTAGCAAAGAATGTGATTGCGCCGAGGTTTCGAGAAAGAAACTCGACTTAATAATTCGTGTTATTATCTCGAAATTTTGAGTTAGTAAGTCGAAATTTCGAATTATAAAGCCAAAAAGCGAAAGGACTTTTTCTCTTCATAGCCCTCATGCTCTTTCGTATACATAGTTGATACTGTGTATATATGCGAAACTAAAACATAAAACTGTTCTTGTGATTCCTATAGCAATTATTTCCTCTGTTGGTTATTGTATGATGTTATTGGGTACCGTGACAGAACAACACAGTAAAACAATATCTTTTATTTAGTATTTTTATTTAAACATATTTTATTGCACATAAGTAGCAATAGGGTTGGACACTTACATAAAGTCCTTTCCAAACATATTAATACCCACACATTATATTTACAAAGTGGTAGCATGATATGATAACTATGAAACAATCATAAACAAGTTGAGAGAGAGAGAGAGGGCGGGGGAGAGAGGGAGAGAGAGGGAGAGAGAGGGAGAGGGAGAGAGAGAGGGAGAGAGAGAGAGAGAGAGGGAGAGAGAGAGAGAGAGAGAGAGAGAGAGAGAGAGAGAGAGAGAGAGGGAGAGGGAGGGAGAGAGAGGGAGTGGAGAGAGAGAGAGAGAGAGAGAGAGAGAGAGAGAGAGAGAGAGAGAGAGAGAGAGAGAGAGAGAGAGAGAGAGAGGGGGGAGAGAGAGAGAGAGAGAGAGAGAGAGAGAGAGAGAGAGAGAGAGAGAGAGAGAGAGAGAGAGAGAGAGAGAGAGAGAGAGAGAGAGAGAGAGAGAGAGAGAGAGAGAGAGAGAGAGAGAGAGAGAGAGAGAGAGAGAGAGAGAGTCACATTCAATCAAATCTCTATTTTAATTTTTTTGCAATTAAGAGATATCATCATCTTTGCTTAATTTCTAATCGCCATATATGAGAAAATCTAATCAAATTCTCAAAGAGAGGCGGTAATTGTCTTATTCATAAATTTCGATTATGAATGTATAGGGGACAAACATCAAAATAGTAATAAAAGTCTTCACATGGGTTGCTGCATCTACATTCAGCTGTATTACCTTTTGCTCTGAAAATGCGTAATCAAGAGATCTAGCAGGATTTCTCAAACGGAAATGACGTGTGTTTTAATAACGTAAATCCCATACCTAAAACCATTTGTCATGTTTTATTTCTGTCATGATTTAAATGTATTTCTGAAATATCTATGTCATACCACTTGTTTGTTGTTGACGAGAAAAAGAATTTCGCACGCTTAAGAGATAACCTAAAGTTCTAGTGATTGGAAATCATTTGAGAATTAAAAGATTTATGTTAAGATTAAATTTCACATCTCAAACAATCAACGATTTAATTGTTTCATTATTTTTAATGACCTCTAACGAAACAAAATAGAAACAATGTCATGAAAGTTTCGATATCATGTAATTTCCCTTTTCAGTTGAAAAAAAGAAGATGCCAACTGAGATTTCGATGCAAGCACCTTTGGAGTCGGGAGCGGAGAGCTTACCATTGTGCTATCGTTACGTTACTCATGTTAAAGGGAAAATTTAGGAATCTTATTAAGTATGTTGTTTACTCCATCTATTGAACATATTTTGTGTTTGTGTGGAATGTAAAACATGTGTCAAGAAAAACAAAGATGATAATGATGTGGTCAGTACATTAATGACTGATTATGCCAAAATGCCAAAAATTCAAATATCTCCATATCAACAAGCACTGCACCCTACTCTTACACTAAAAATCATCCAAATAATATACATTACACAAGTCTGATCTTTTAGTGAGGAAACAAAGTATCTATTCGCTAGTTTTTTTCATTTCATTTCCATTGCAATGAATTTTAACTTGCAAGTTGAACATTGATAAGCTTTCTTTATAGACTTAACCTTGTACAATATTATGGTTTACAGATGTAGAAACAAACAATGCATTAAACACTTTGTTCACGCATCGTCCGCGCCCACGCACGTGTATCTAACACATAATTGTGCAATCATTTTCGTTCCTCATCAGTTGTGAAGCTTGTGAAAACAAAAGGCAACAACTTTGGAAGATCAGAATGCTGTCATAAGGCCTTATATTGTATACGCCAGAACACTAAGGTGTGGCATTTTGTAAACAAAACACTTCGAATCTATAATTGTATGGTTTTATTATCATCATCATCATCATCATCATCATCATCATCATCATCATCATTCTTTATTTTCCCCTTGCGGAGATTAAGATACACCGTAAGACAAGAAATCGACAAAATTCAAGTGAAAGGTAGAGATTTGAATATATATGATTTGGCTCAGTCATTTAAAGGGTGGGATGTTTGACGTAGGTACATCAAACATTCTCGGAGAAATTCCTTAGAATTGCGATGGTCCCCCCGGAATTCTGCGCCAAGAAGTTTTAAGGAAGTGTTTATTGTCCATGCTGTCTAGGGCAAAGCAATAGCCAGGACCAAAACTTTCCAGAATATCAAACATGAAGCGCGATCTTAAATCAGCCGTGTGTTCACAACATGTAAACACATGTACAATGACGTCCTCGATTTCACGCTGACATCTGTGACACAATGACGGCGTGCAGTCTGGCACGGTCGTGATAAATTTGCAGACTTAATAAACGTCTCTAGTTTGATGAATATTTGCCGGGACCTAGAACAGCTG